GTGTGTGTGTTTTGTGTTCATGTGTGTTTTTAGATAATTCCCCAATTCGCAGAATGTACAGACATTCCCCGCTACCAAATCAAACAAGCCAAGTCCCAAGACTGTCAGCAGTGAGTTAAGACTCCAAAATGGCTTTGCTGTGTAGAACTTAAGTATAAGAAGTGTGTGTGTGTGTGTGTGTACTGGTTAAGTGTCGAGACATCCGCTCCGATGTTGTGATTAAGGTTGCTGACTGTTTGCTCTGGAGTGCAGCACATTCCTTGCAGCCTTAATTGATAGCAATTATGTGGTTTTTGATTTGGTGTTTGATTGGGAGGTGGATTTGAAGTCTTGATTTGACGGGCACAGAGTTTTTATTGTCTTTGGAACGTCAGGGTCGAATGCCTGAGTGATAGCCTGCTACCTTGCAAGTCACATCAAGGGGCACCAGTGAGCTGACACTAACTTGGACTGCTCTGTTTCTTTTTTTAGCTCTCTGTTTCGACCGCTTGTGTTTTGCCGTTGCAAAAGTAAAAGCTGAAAAGCTACTCAGTGTATAGTATATTCCCACTGTGCCAAGAGCTGTCCGTCTTAGCAGTTGTTTTTCTCCATAACCAGAGGAATTGTCCCTCCAGGGGACACCTGGCTTGTTCCCCACCTCCACAGAGCAAATGTTCACCGGCTTAAACTGCCAGATGTTATGAAAGGATCCATTGAAGTAGACCTTTAGGTCATAACGGAATAGAAAAAAGTCACCATGACTGAAAAGTCTATTCTGATACCGTCAGTGACCAGACTATGTCATCTGATTTACATGGGGCTCTCACATGTAACTTCTTGTGAAGCAAAACACAGTCAGGAGCCGGACATGAAGTCATGTGCTCCCAGATATATGTGTCAGTTTTGTTTAGATGTAAGTTTGGAGTCAGCATTTCTGTGCATGCTTGGAAATTTGAGAGTTTTTTTTTTTTTTTTTTCAAGAGAGATACCAGAGCATTTTTTGATATTTCCAAAAGAGAGCTGCTGGCAAAAGACAGAGAAAAGCCATCCAGAGCTAAAAAAGAAATGAGAAACAGTGGCATGAGCAGGAATAACAGAGAGAGAGAGAGAGAGAGAGAGAGAGAGAGAGAGGTGGAAAAAAATAGGAACTAGGAATATGAGAGACAGAAATTTGAGATATTAGGAGAAGAAATGGAAAGAATCAAAGGGGGAAGAAAATTGGTTTACAGTTGTCTGTCTGCCATTATTCCCACTCTATGACTGTCTGACACACACACACACACACACACACACACAAACGTGTGAAGTTGTGAAGTTGCAGCTGGCCCAACTCCTTGTTTGAACTAGCATGCTTGACTGAGTCCCATTTATTGATTGGCTGGTGTGCCAGACCTGAGGACTCGCGGGGGCTCGGACGCCCCCCACCACCCCCCACCCCCTCTCGTTCACACATCGCACACACGAAAACACACACGCACTCTCCTAGCCCTTCCTCCCTCCCTCAACTTCCACAAGTTACTCCTGAGGAAGAACGGGAGTAAGCCAGAGACGAGACGGCCGGCAGGCAGGACACACAGAGTGACCCAGAGAGGAGGGCAACACACATACAGACAGACACACACACACACACACACACACAAGCACACAAGCAGAACTGGAGTGGTTGGCTGACACACTTGAAAAGGCATGGAGCAAGATTTTTCATCTTGCAAGCTGCTGCTGACAGCTCTTCTTATCCTGGTACAGTAATGTTTTCTTTTTTTTCTTTTCCTCCTGTAAACATTCATTTAGATGAGTGATACTTTTGTAATTTATCTTTTGTTTCATCATTAATCTCCTTCAAATACTTGTCACACTAAATAATGCATCCAGAAAGCGTGAGTTCTAATAGATTTCTTTACTGTGCATACGTGTGTATATGCACAGTATGTACTTGATGACTGTGTGACTCTCCCAGCAGCAGTGGTAGTTAGTGATGTGACTCCGTGTCCTCGATCCAAGTCCCAAATAATAGTGTCATGCGTGTGCAGGTCAGCAGGCTGTTTTGTTGGAGGTGAGGGCTGCCTGTTACATTGCACTGACTGCCTCGCTGCATGACGGTGAGTACAGTGCCGCGCAGCAGTGCGGAGCAGTCGACAAGAGATTCAGCAGATGTGCAAATATCGTGTGTCTTGCCGCCTGAAAAGGCCATCGTGTGTATATTGACACAGTCTGCAAAAGAAGGCACCGGAGTCAGGTTTCTTTTTCCCTGTCGAGGAGTTTTCCATCTTCAAGGAAAATGTCCTTAGTCTCAGCTGCTGACAGGTGACTTAAATAGAATCTGTCCATCAGAATAACATATAATGTGGAGATCAGTGGTCTTTTATCGTATGCTCATTTCCTCTCTTCCACTTGATGTGAAAACATGGGATGGTTGACAGCCAGGCTGCCTTTGCGGTGGTGTGTTTGCCCTGTTTTTCTCATAGTAACAGAGCTGGAGAACAAATATGTCTGAATAATATAATGCCTTGTTGTGTAAATGTTACTGTTAAGGAATCCGAGGTGGCATTGTGAGTCATGTGTGGAGGGATATGAAAGGGTGCATGCTCCCTCCATGAAGCCGTCCAGTGCAAATAAAACCCTGGGGGGATCAGAGCGGGAGAGGTGGGATGTGTAGTGATGGAGGGTTAGGAACACTCCAAGTGGATATCCGAGCCTTTTTATTATTGGATCCAAATCTCAGCAGGACGGCCTTGTGACCAGCGGAGCCTTGTGTTCCTCTGCCTTCATTGAGAACAATAGCAGCATAGTCAGCCAAACAACCTCCTCATCTCCATCCCTCCGTCCCTTCATCTACTTCCCCTCCTCTTTCTTCACCATCCTTGTTATGCCTCCGGCTCTCTTGGCCTCGCAACACACAGCTCTCAGCTGTAATTGAGTGCAAAATTCACTGATTGCTTTTCAAAGGAGAATTAAGGTGGTGCGCTAACCGGCTGCCCAGAGCGCAGCCTGTGTTTATTTACCGTGGATCCAAACATTGAAATAGTTGGCCCGTGCAGAAAGTCGTTCCGTTGCCGATATGTTTGGCTGTATGCTCCGTTGGCTGTGTGTTTAGGTCTTACCGTTCCCCTCTGCTGTTCCTCAGGCGTCATCAGCACTGACAGCCATTCATATCAGTCCCCATGCGCTTTTAATAATGTGAACCCACCGCCCCTCTCCGCAGCGTATAGCATAGGTGTTTTTGCTACCGTGACCCAAAGAAAATAATCGGAGCAGTATTATTACCTTGTATCTGCTTTCCTCTACAAGATCATTCATCTTTGTAGACAAAGCACAATGCCACGCTGTTGAGGAAAAGGGGTCAAAGGGGTCAAAATAACTTGGCATACCTTGAGTTTTCCCTCTGAAATCTCAAGGCTGTGTATCTTAAACACAAAGCTGGACCTTCAGCTCAGTGAGCATAAATCTTTTTACAGCAGGTGTTACACACAAAGTTCTCATAGTCCCGGCCCCTATTCGTTGTGTGCAGAGTAAGTGGGCTTGTTGTGCCTCGCATTTCTTTCCTAATCTGCAGGATTTGAGATTTTTAAATCACTGTCAAAAACTCTGCTGGATGTGCAAGCGCAATCTGCCGCCTCACGGTGTATAGATGTCACGGTGGGAGCGCACAAAAAGTGCGTTTCTGCAACCTTAAAATATTCTTTCATGGTTCACCAACAGCAGAGAGGCTGCCTCGGTGTTCAGCTTATTGTGGAAAATGATAATTTTCCTATTCATTGCTTTAAACCCTCCAGTGAATGGCAGATTATTTTATTGAATGTGTTTGCACCTCCAGTCCACTGAGTCACATTCCTGCTGCACAGAAGGTGGATGATTGGTCCCAGTGTTAGTTCCAAGTTCCAGGTCTTTTTTCTTTTCTTTTGTTTTTTTTTTTTTTCATTTTCCAGGTTTTCATCCATTCAACAGGTAGAGAAGCAGTTTTTCCTTCACATCTTTCTCATCTGAGTAGCACCCCCCCCACCCCCCCACCCCTCCCCCAAGATAAGCTCTCCTTGTTAGAGAGAGCAAAAGCAATCTATTCTCCTTTTCACTTCGCCAGGTATTTGCCTTCATTTAGTCAGCTCTGCAAAGCTCTGCCTACGTCTTTAATTGTTGTGTTGTGTCTGTTTTAATTGTTAATGTGACTCTTTCTTTTTGTGCCACAGAACAGGAACCCGAGTCAGGCCAGTTTAGATGTAACATAGTGATGCTTTTAATCGTTTCCTGTCTGAATGAATGAATAAAATCTAAAATAATAAAATGAAAAGGGCATGGAGAAGCGTGAGGCAGCTGAGTAAAACCAAGAGATATAAACATACCTCACACACAGCCATAGATGACCCACATCACGTGCCAGTGCCAGCCTTACAAATAAACATCTTCCTCAGAGCAAGGTGAGCCAGTCCAATTCAATTCTGCATGTGAGATGTAAAAAGCCTTGAGAGGAGAAGATAGAGGGTTGGAGCGGATCTTCATTCACTCTACATCTGAGATATGCATTGTCCTTGCACTCGAAAAATTCATCTTCTCATAATATTGATTTTGGACGCTGCAGTAATATCCATGCCTCTGCTGCCAAACACAGCAAGATGCAATTAACAGAGAGAGGAACGCAAGCGAGGCCTGAAGCTTAAGAGAGGACTAACACTTGATTACTTCCCCTTACCATCTGTCTTACTCTGTCACATGCACTCCTATGGTTTCGGAATATTCCTAAGCCATATGAGAAATGTAGGAAGATAAATAAGTCACTTTTAACATGTGAAATTGTTTAGACAGACCAGTTCAGCACAAAGATAGCACTTGTGTATTGCACTGCACTGTGTAAAATACACAGTGCAGTGCAATACACAAGTGCCACAGTTGCCTCGGGGTGAGAGAGCTGATAATGAATGAGGTGACAACAGTGAAAAAGGGGAACTGGAGATGCTCACGCCGTCCATGACAGATCACATAAACTTTCAGCTTCCTTTCTCCCGTCTCTCTTCTCTCCGGTTGTGTAGAGCTCGCGGACGGCCCGGTCAGAAGAGGACAGAGACACGCTGTGGGATGCCTGGGGCTCGTGGAGTGAATGTTCCCGTACCTGTGGAGGAGGAGCCTCATACTCCCTCCGACGATGCCTCAGCTCCAAGTAAGGCTTTCCGCTCAGCCAGGTGTCACCTGAAATCCTGTTACATACATGCAGTAATGTAATGTAATGAGCGATTCTTCCTCACATTTTTGCAGTGTAATATTAAGTGGTGCAAAATGTGTCTTCTAATACCAACTTCTACAGCAACTTCACTCATTTGATGTAGGAGTGATGCATGGTGCTAAGTGTCAGGTACATTAGCAGAACACATGCATGCTCCACACATAACCTACTACAAGATAATGTAATAATAATATGGCTCAGGAAAAGTAAGTTGATCTTGAAAATGAATAGCAATAATTTATGCTAACGCACTAAATTAAGATGTTAATCGGTATATCTGCTTAACAGGATGTTAGCATTGTCATTGTGAGCCAATCAGCATGCAGCTCTACAGCTTATATGAATACAAAGAAGCAATATTTCTAATATGAGAACCAGAGGCATGAAAAGGAGTCACGTTTTTGAGCAGGGGACTCAGAGTGGTGCCCTGTAATAAGTAAGTCTCAATCATTAAGAGATGCTTGCATCACAAGAGGAGAGGATATACAGCAAATTGAATGTATATAATTTCAAGTTAGAGTCTCATTGACCTTCAGATAAATGGAAACATCCCGTCGGCAATTTGTAAGCGTGTGTTCAAACACTATCCAAGGTAATCTCCTCTTTTAAGGAGGAAAGTCTCGACTGGGTTTGGACTGGTTTCCATTAAAGTGCCATATCGTGGCTTTAAGATTCAAGAGAGGGAAAAGGGGGGGGGGTCTTTTTCTGTTGCTCACAGCTGCTCTGCCAAATAAATCCAGACAGCGTCCCTAATAGTGTGAGTAAATCTCATCAATCGCCCTGTTCCCATGGGCTGTAATGAGAGTGCTCAAAGTACATATGACTGGTTTGTGACTGTTAAGTACCCCTGAGGGGGTCATCCGAGATCATTTGCCCATCCACCTACGAAAGCTGTCTAGACGGCCATATGAGCCTAATTCTTGAATTCATCAATGACAGTGGGGATCCGATTTTCACTAATGTCCCGGACATGTTTCTTCACGAATTGGAGCATAACAGTACATGTCACTTTTAATAACTTATTTTTCTCTGATAGAGTTCTCTGCAAACAATGAGCCCTCAATGGTTTGATTCCCACTGCTCATCATCTTGGCTTAAACTGGAGCTTGCACTCTGGACCTCTCTGTCCTTTCATCCTTGTGCCAAAGTCGCCCAGTTGGTTAGACTTCAAGCTAACCCAGTGGGCTTCAAGATTAAAGCTGCGGGCCAAGGGTTCTGGGCAAAGTGGCCAATTGCAAATGGATTTGAGGAACAAGAGAAAAAAAGACTGAAGGAGGGTATGTTTTCCATAGAAATGTTGTCACATTTATAGACTGGGAAATAGCTGCAGGGTGACTTCACTGCATTCCTGTATTTTTACAGTTCCCAGAAAGTATCGCTCACTCTGTAAAGGTAGCCAGTGAGCTTTGCTGCTAAAGTCACCTCTGTTTCACTGATGGGGGGGCTTCAGGGGGGAGCGCCAGCAGTGACAGGAGCGGCCAGTGAGATCATAAAACAATGCAACTGTCCAAAGACATACTGAGAAAACAGCACAGATCATACTTGAGGTCATAACCGAGGTGTACTACAAGGTGCTTCCAGCTCTCCATAACCATGAATCAATCTGCACTGGCACTGCAGAACCAGACCGAGAAGCATGAGGCTGTCAAAACCTCAAACTCAAAGTGACAGACTCCCCCTCCCCGCCCTTTACTGCATTGTAAACACTGAGGTCAATGGCTTTTTGAGGAGTTCATTTCATGATATCAGCAGCTGCCATTTCTCTTTGCTTGCCCAGAAATTTTTGGTCAGGCAAACCTCAGATTGCTACTGGCTGTAAAAGCAATTGACGTTTTAAGAGGTGTTTGGGGTTTGAGCTCCGTGTGGGATGACGGGGAGTGTATGTATGTGTAGATGTACATGCTCATGTAAGCCCAGGCGGGTAATGTTTACAAACCCGTGTGTCCTTTGGCGGTGGCTGTCGTGTATGGGGTTCTTGAGCAAATGGAAGAACCCTCCGTCCCACCTCATCCAACCTCACCCCGCTATTGCGTGGGAATGAGGGAGCAGTAGCCTGGCCCCGGGTGGCAGATCAAACAGCGTCATTAAAAAGCACAGCACAAGGCCCCTTGTGTGTGTGTGTGTGTGTGTGTGTGTGTGTGTGTGTGTGTGTGTGTGTGTGTGTGTGTGTGTGTGTGTGTGTGTGTGACTCTTTGGAAGGAGCGGCTGGAAACGGGCCTGCAACACCCTCCAAACCAATACCACTCCAACTCTCTGACCTTTACACAAACACACACACACACACACACACACGCACGTAGGACTTACTGCTACTGCAAAAACGCTTGACAACCTCCCAAACGGGCACATGCAAAGTACAGACTAAACACAGATCGCCTGGCCCTCATTAGTCGTGCCCCCCCCACCACCACCACCACCACCACCCGCCCCCGCACAACACACTTCACTTGATCACAAGCTCCATTATTAGCAACAGCATAGCTGGTTTGAAGCAAGTGTGGACATATGGATTGGGTGTCATGGCAAGAGAAAGCGCTGGTCTATTATTTATGAGGCTCATGGTTGGCAAACGCTTAAGAGATTTGTCTTTTTTGTCATTTCTTTTTATAACAAGAAACCTCTCTCTACTTTATTTAGAGTTTGTTTAAATAAGTTGAGAGTAAATTGTAAAAGAGAGTCATGTAACCCGTTGGTAACCTTCCACCATCAGGAAGTAAAGATAAGCAGGACAGGACAGGGGCAAGGAACCAGTTAAGCATCTAAGTGTTACAAAAAGCTTCTCATTCCTGATAAGGATGTTTCTAATATTCATTGGGTCACTGATTTGCTGAAATTACAGGCAGTGACATTAAAATAACTGTGGCATTTTGGAATTTCACCGAAGGCATGCCACAGCTGTGTTTAGTGTCTATGTTTAAAGGCTATAGTAGTTAAAAGTGAATTTTCTCCAAGGCAATGAATTGTCTAAGTACCCTGGGCCTGGCACCGTGTTCATGTCTCTGACGTGACAGTGTAGGGCGACACCCTCTGTGTGGCCTGTGCAGTGCTAAAAAGGAAGTCGAAAACATTCAGTCATAATCCAGATTTTCAGCTGATGATAGGAATAGATAAACATTTGTGTAACATTTCTGAAAACCAAAAACTTCATGGAGGCACTAAAAGAAAAAAATCAGCACACATCACCAAAGTGTGTCAGCTTCATCCTCAGGGGAAAATCATTGTCTCCAAAGTATTCATGACAATCTACCCGACAGGTGTTGAGATATTTCATTGTGGATCAAAGTGGGTATGAACCAAATGACTGACATTGCCACCCCCAAAGCCATGCCACTTGCATAGCTAAAAATGTGCTTGTGTATAGAAACAGCCATTCGGCCATTAAAATCAAGAGTGTATCTTCCTGGGAGCATGAATGTGCTCAGCAACTTTCTTTGCACTCTCTAATCTAATATGTGAAGTTGACATTTTGACTAGGGAGCATGAATGTGTGCAGTAAATTTCAGACCAGTTTTCCCATTTCATTTCTATATTTCTTATGTGCAAGGGAAAACGTGTTGCCTAAAAGAAAAAGATGTCCAGGACATCACAAAAACATCAAGATTCATCATCAGGGGAACGTGAATATCTAATGAAAAATGTCTATGGCCATTACTTTTAAAAGACATATCTCCGTGGACATGACAAAGTGTTGGTCAATGACAGATTTTCAGCCTGATAGTGGCACAAAAAGGGCAGATAAATACAAGGTCAGGAGATCACTAAAAACATTATGAACCACCCCCCTGGGGACCATGAATATTTCAAATTTCATAACATTGTGGGCCAATAGTTACAGAGACATCTTGCTGTGGACCAAGGAAGGACAAAGGAAAGAATGAGCGCCTTTGTCTGATGTTGCGACATCTTTTTCAACTTTGTCCTGAGTGCCCCTAAACTGATCAATAGCAGAGCTCACAGCATCAGCATATTTTAGACATTACAAAATCAGCCACATTTTCATTTGCCTACTTGCCTCAAGTGTATCAATATTATGGCAAAGGTTATGGAGCCGTGCTTGCAATTACTTTCAATCTAGCGAGACGAGTTGATGACATATATATGGACTTTATGAGCCAGACAAATTTTATTGCATATCCAACATTATACGAAGTTATTACTATGAATTTTTCATGGTTACAGTAGATTTTAGCTCTTTTCTTGTCTGAAGATGAGGTTATTGGCCTGCTATATGGTAATTTTACTCTATGTGGTGTCTTGTGTGTTGTTAGCTGAGCAGCAAACTCTGTGTAGTTGTGTCTTTTGTGTATATTTGGCTCAAAAGAGAAGGGTCATAGTCTGTGAGTTATGTGTTATGTGCTTCAGGAATTCTGATATTTCAACCAAGTTGTTTTTCCCTAACCTATGATGACGCCATGATGAATCCCAAGTCCAGGCTGTACTTCTGCTTAGCCTCCACTTTGTAGCTTCCAAAGTCAAGAGGAAATGAAAAGGGAAATTCATTTTATTCCCTTTGCCTCCTTTTTTTTTTTTTTTTTTTTTTTTTTTTTTTAACGTCTAGATTATATATTGCTCCTCCCAGCATGATTTTCCACACGGATCCAGACCTTTGCTACCTGTCTTTCAACTCTTGGTCTTTGAAAGTCTCTTGTTTGGGTTCAAGCCCCATGACCTGCTGTTTGGCTTGGCAGAGAGGACTGTCTGAATTTGTCACAGGGTCTAATGTTCTTGCCATGCCACACGTTCCACATTCACTCCCTCTGCTCTCTGGAATAATATTGTAAAAATCCTTAAGCCCCCGTTCATCCGTGAGTCCAAACTCTGCAACGTTGCCTCCAATCATGATTCCAGATTAGCTAAGGGCCTGTGACACTGGAATTTCTCTTAAGTTTCCAAACTCAAAAGAATATCCTCTGATTAGTTTCCACTGGGGTCTTGGATAATTGGCCTATCATAGTCACCATCAATGGTTTATCATCACTCGCCATCAAAGCACAAAGGAATCCTAATTTTCAGTAAGTGGTTAGCTCCATAATTTGGGCAAAGACACTGCCGACTGTCATACACAGAGTCGTGATCCAAACTGCTCCAATCTGTTAAGCAGACACAGACTGGAGAGCTCTGCTGTGTCTGCTTTACTACTGTATGTGTGGTACTGCTGGTTTATAAAGCAAGGATTTGTTTAAAGACTGGTCACTAAGACAAATGAGGGAGTATCTGAGTGTTTTCAGTACCTATCCACTCTTGTGTTCTGTTTTTCTTTTTCCTTTTCTCTAGTTTATCTTGAATTTTTAAAGCTTTAATTGACTTGGTTTTTCCTGATTTAGTTTTTTTGGGTTCTCATTCTTGTTACTAGTAGGCTGTGCTAGATTGAAACCAAATGATCAAACGCTAAACTAAGATGGTGACCGTGGCAAACATCATAATTGCTAAACGTCACCATTTTAGCATGTTGTAGCATTGTGAGCGGGCTAGCATGCTATTGTTAGTCTCAAGCTCAGAACACTCAGTCAGTCAAAGAGAATGCAGTGAAGTGGTCTTTGTAGTAAAGAAGGAAATACAACACTGTTCATCATAAATCAGGTTTCTATTAAAGAAACTAAACCTGATTATAAAGTTAGTAAGTTAATAATGTAATTTTTTGTGTTATACCACCATTGTTACACAAGGCACAATAACCGTTCTTATCATAAATTGCTCTCCCCCTTCTGAAACCATATATGCCTTTGTATTTATGTATAGTCACACTGTGTGAATTAGACTTAAATCTAAACATCACAGATCCATGTTTGTGGGCTGCCAAACCATCGCTGCGGGATTGCAGCAATTCAAAAAGATAATGAGAGTCAATGGTTGAAATAGCAGCCATTAGGTCGCTGGTGTGCATTGTGGTTTGTTTCATCATCCACCCCCAAAGCCAGTACACCCACATTTTCATTCTTTCTTCTGCAGGACCTGCGAAGGGCAGAATATCAAATATCGCACATGCAGTAATGTGGTAAGTTTAGCAAACTCATCTTTATGTAATGGATGTCCATAGAGCTTTCAAGTGGTTTTCTCTTGAGATAAACTGATCCGGCGAATTGTGATTGAAAAGTCAGTGAGGTGGAACTGTGAAAATATTACTTGGATTTATGGTTAAGGGGTGTAATTTTATGATCTAGGATCCAATGTTGTTTGAGAGAAAAGTGAGAAGTTGTGGTGGGAAACATCAAACTCCATTTGTTTTCATTTAACCTGGGATTTACATGTAGCAATCACCAACCACTTCTCCCCACATGCAGTGCTCATTATCGATTGAGTGCGCAGATTAGAAAAGTATCTAAAATATTCTTGTCTGTGTTACCTTCAGGACTGCCCTCCAGAAGCTGGTGATTTCCGCGCCCAGCAGTGTTCAGCCCATGCAGACGTACGATACCAGGGTCAGTACCACGAGTGGCTGCCTGTGTACAATGACCCGGAAAACCCCTGCGCTCTCAAGTGCAAAGCCAAGGGTTCGGGCCTCTTGGTGGAGCTGGCGCCCAAGGTGCTGGATGGGACTCGCTGTTACACTGAGTCCCTGGACATGTGCATCAGTGGGGTCTGCCAGGTAGGAGACTGACTCAGAGACCGCCATTGTTTTCCACCACTGAGGAGTACACATTTATTTCATTTAGATACAGGAGCTAACACCAACCGCAATGTATATCAACATGTTGACATTCCAACCCATTACTACTCAGCAGCCATTACTACATCATTACATGAGTAGTCGGGTCAGAGCACAGTCATCTTACAACTTAGCCTTCATTTTGATGTCAATGACACACCTGTAAAGTTTACTCAGTTTTACCCCTTTTTCAAAACCACCTCTGTGGTATTTCCCGCCACAGCAGACGTCTCCAAAACCACATTTTGCCATGATGACACACACACACACACACACACACACACGCACACACACACACACACACACACACACACACACACAAACACACACACACTAACTGATGAGAGTGTATTGCAGCCATCAGCCAAAGTTCTGACAATTCCAATAGTTTATTTATAATTAATAATAAGCAATTAACAAGCCAAACTAATAACAGACCTCTACTATAAATACAACACAACTTGACAATAGTGATCTTGTACGCAGTCACAACAATATGTCCACCGACTGACATATAAAACTGCAAAATTACTCACAACCGCCTCAGTGGTAGTTCCCGCTAAAGTAAGTGTCTCCAGGACCACATTTTGCCATCATTACACACACACACACACACACACACACACACACACACACACACACACACACACACACACACACACACACACACACACACACACACCACCACACCACAACACGCGCGGCTGGTAATAAATCTGAGAAAACTCATACACAGTAGGTTGACTTATGCTAACACCATGCCATCTGCTTTACAAATGAATACCCAATGAGAATAATAGTAGAGACTGGGCTTTTGACTGACAGTCCAGGAAATAGTTTCGAATGCATTTTTTCCCGGTTGAATGGAAGTACGTCCCAAGGCATTGTGTGTGCAGAGACACACAAGGATTTTAATGTACTCTCTTACCATGCTAAGAATCACACTGTGGTTTTTGGTTTTTCTTACCGACAGAGATTGCGAAAAACTCCATCAATCAACTACGGATGGTTGCAGATAATATTCAATAGAAAACAGTGGGGAAAGTTTTTTTTGTAAAAACCATGATCAGCTCAAAGGGGATGTTTCATGCTATCTTAATAATACAAACAACAGATGTGGTATGAATATGGAAGAAACCAGAGGGTTGTTTGGATCATTTGATTATAACATTTACATGATATGATGAGGAAAGACATTCTTTTTGAATTTAAATTAAAGGTCTAACAGAACCAACATGTGTACTTTCACTGGGACTTGTTTTTCATTTTTCATTTTTCCCCGTGTTTCCTCTGTTCTTTTCATATTTTTGCATAAGACCCTGTCAGAGATTCATTTACAATCTTCTCTGAAAGCTAAAGCTTTCAAATAAAAGTTATTCGTTCAGACATCTGGTTGCTTGGTGAGTCTATTTTTTTGTATTGTTCTTTTGTTCAGTTTTCCCTTTGTGTTACAGATTGTTGGTTGTGATCATGAGTTAGGGAGCACGGCAAAGGAGGACAACTGCGGTGTCTGCAATGGAGATGGCTCATCCTGCCGACTTGTGCGAGGACACTACAAATCCCAGCATACATCAGGAAAAAGTAAAGAGTCTTCATTCAAGCAGTTGTATTTGTTCTAATTAAAACACAAATTAAAGGGGGACTCCACAGTTTACTCGAGAGGCGCTACAAAGTCTACAAACATTCAAGGCTTGAGTTTAAAAATCATGAGCACTTACTGGGTAGGCAAGTTCTAATGAAAGATGCTGCTAAGTTGCATTATGGGAAGTGTAGGATTCAGTGATTTTGGAGCTTGATCCATACTAGACTGACTAAAAGTCAGGATACCTTGGCTTCCTCTTTCTAAAATCTGTTCAGTTGGAGCCCCCCAACTGCAATAGTCAATCGCTAGAGTGACACTTTAAAGCTGCATTTTTAACTTGTTTTGGTTATGTATCTCTACTGTTGAAGTAAATTACAGTATACATTATATATGTACTGTGTATATACATATATACATTATGTTTGTTAATATAATGTATATGTACTTTATATCTATGCAATCTTACCCAAGAGTGCTGCTCTGCTTTGTTCTAGTCAAATCAGTCTGAGTCTGTTGCTTGATTGTATTTGTATTGCCACAAGTATTTATATTGAGTTTGTCAGGTTTTATTGCATTTCATTAAGTTCTGATTAGATTCATCTTCATGGTCTGTCTCTCTCTCTCTCTCTCTCTCTCTCTCTCTCTCTCTCTTTCTCCCTGTCTGTTTTGTCACACTCCAGCTGAGGACACAGTTGTCGTCATCCCCTACAAGAGTCGTCATGTGCGTCTGGTTCTGAAAGGCCCGGATCACTTGTGTAAGTCCTGGTAGGTCCAGGGTGCCCTCCCATCCAAAACAGTTAAACATGATATTTATATTTGGCAGTGTTTTTTTAAATTTTTTTTAGTATTATTATTATTATTGCCAAACACCGCAATTTAAACCCAAGTATTCTGCATGTGTTTTACTGCAGGTCATGTTATGTTCTAATGATGTGTGATGCAAAAAGAATATTACTTTTTCATTATACACGTTATGCTTGCGTGACCCCTAATAAACCTTTTTAATAAATATATCACCCAAATAACAATTCATGATTAACCTTTTACTCCTGATAATGGCCAAATATATTACATTTTCTCATAAAGGCTGTTTTTTTTTTTTTTTTTTTTTTTTTTTTTTTTTTTTTTTTTAAAGTGGCTTAGGGGAGAATAACCAGAAGAGGTATTTATTTCTCCCCTTTGCTCTGGCTCTGAGAAGACACACAGCTTCCAGCAAATATCACTGATGTCAAAGTACTGGCACCAAACTCCCCACTGAATCAAATCGATAACAAATGTTCCATCTCTGTACCTATCCTTTGCTCCGCGGTTATTTTACAGATCGCTTCCTGAGCCCGGCCAAAAAAGCGCTTCTTTTTCTGAATGGACAGATTCTTTCATTAAATATTTCCCTCCGCTCTTTTTGGCCGAGGGCACTTAAATTGTAACCATCTGTCGGCAGATGATGACGGCTGCTGGTTACCGCTTATTCCTGTGTTTCCCCCGTTGTTTTTGTTTAAATATCTTTGCTGGAATCACACACGACCTTGTTAGGCCCAAAGTTGAAGTGAGGTCAAGCGGTGGAAAAGCTCTCCGCAGTGCTGGCCTGCCTGGAGGCCTACACGAGTCTCCTGGCAGTGCCAAAAGTGGGTCTCTCTGCCTCCGAACACCACAGCCAGTCTGCAACTGGATCTGACTGAGGACCTGAGATAACTGGTCATCCTTTGGGAATCTCGACATTTGGATCACTTCTTCTCCCTCATTTGGTTAAAGTGCACAATAATGATGAAAATATAGGCAAGAAATGATTATGATAAATCAAAGAGAAACTAAAGTCTCATTGTTAATGGTGGGTTTTGATACCTGCTGTCCCTGCTTCCTCATTCTGACCATGATGTGTCCACTATGCTCCAGCTGTCTACTCTGTTTCCTCTTTAGATGTGGAGAGTAAGACTCTGCAGGGGTTGAAAGGTGAACTGGTCTTAGATACATCAGGCCAGTACCACCTGGAGAACACCACCTTGGACTACCAGAAACTTTCTGACAAGGAGATCCTGAGAATCACTGGCCCACTAGGAGCTGACTTCACTGTCAAAGTAAGAGCTTAAATATATTAATTCAAGTGGCGCTAATCAGTATTTTTATATTAACAAACTAATTTACTATTTGTAATTTTAAACAAGTTTTTTTTCTTGAGTGATGAACCCTCACAGAATGATCACCTCACTGTTCAGCTTCTCTCAGCTCGTTCATTTGGAAGGTGGAGCCGGACCAGAGCTAAACGAGTGTGAATCTTGCACCAAATCATTGCTGATGTTGATCATAACTGCTGGATGTGTGAATAAGCAGCTATTTGGTGACAAGTTTATCATATTAGCGGTCAGTGTCTGCCCCCAAGTGGCCAATAAAAATCAGTTTTTGCAGGTATGAAATCAGTTTTTTTTTTGTTTTTTTTTGTTTTTGGGGGGAAGTGGTTACTTCAGCTACTTCTTTAACTTTTTTTTTTTTTATCATTTAACTGAAACCAGCAGCCTCCAGACTGCTTTCTGTAAAGGCTTTGCCTGCAAATGATCCCAATCAGCTTCACTCCTCTGAACATCTGACATCACAGGGACATTTTTGTTTTCTGTTCCGCAGCTTAACTCAAAACTGTATTTTTTGCGATGCAAAGCTCTGAAAATGGTGCGCTCCAGCCAAACTGCTCTCTGATAAGTTCTTGTTTCCATGAACTCCCGGTGAACTCCCGCGAGTCACGCAGAGTTCAAAGCAGATTTGATTTCGGATGTTTAGATTGAAAGATATCAGAGTATGTGTGAGCCAATTAAATATTAAATGCAAATGACTGCTTTTATTTTTTTTTCCTCTAGTTGCTTCACTCTGACAGTCGGTATATTTTTGAAGCAGTGTGTCATGCAATGATAACAATAGTGGCATAAATTCAATTCATAAATTCAGTAGTGGAACATAGGATTTTTTATTATTTTTATTTTTAACAATGCTGTGACACAATGCCTACAACATCTTTTTCGGCTTTGTATTCTCTCACACACGCACGCATGCACACACACACACACACACACACACACACACACACATTCTCAGACTAGCGCTAGAGGGTGGACATTAAAAATTATACAGGCCTCGGACCGGGGGAACGCCTGTAAAAACTTCCACCCTCATAAACATGAGTCGGGATCGGACAATAAATAGGAAGTGAGGAGACAGAAATCTGAGAAACTATAAATGCATAATTTTCTAATCTGTTACGAGGCGGACGGCCAGCTCATATCGCAGCACTGGAAAAAAAGTTTGGGCAAATGGAAAATTATATTAAAAAGTTCCCAGACAGTCTTTCCACTCAAAACACATGAATGTGAATGAGTAGGAGTGGAGTTTGATTTATGTTTCTCATAGGTATAATCTGTTTTTGGGCATTTCCTCAAGAGGATGTTTGCTTAAATATTTATGAAACTTTACAAAATCTCTGTTGAAAATGGACCAACAATGTCTATAAAAGCAATCTGTATTCATTATTTACGTAAAGCACTAAGAAACTGTCTACTGTCATACAGGAGATTATGAATCACTCTCTCAGATATATCCTGCTGGTTGCTGTGTTTGTCCTTTGAATGTGCAGGAACTGACATTTCAGGTTTCTCAGGATCGAATTCCTCTAACATCCGTGTGTGTGTGTGTGTGTGTGTGTGTATGGTTGGAAAAAGAGCGTCTCTAAATAGTTTCCAGTGTTTTTCAGTCGTTTGTTGCCGAACAAAACTACCATACTTTCATCTCTATATCTCATATGGGAGTCATGCGTGTCGAAGGGGGGGACTGAGTAATAACCAGCAGTGGCTGTGTGTTCTTCAAAAGAGGAGAGAAACCAGTCTTTTCTTTGTTGTGGTGTCTCAACAAACTGCTAGAAAACAATGTGAAAACACTCGTCCAAATCATGAATTTACTATAGTGATTAATCTGCTATCAAAATGGTCACCAACTATTTTTCTGATCAACTTATCAATCGATTGACTAATAATTACAGCTCTAATTATAATATTGATATAAATTAGCTGATGATTTATTTGGTGGTCATGCCCTGATCTCTGTTTCTGAAGGTGCAGTTCGCCAGTGGAGCAGACAGTGTGATCCAGTACATCTACTACCAGCCCATCATCCACCGCTGGAGAGAGACCGACTTCTTCCCTTGCTCCGTCACATGTGGTGGAGGTAGGAGAGCAGTTGTTCTGCTGGCATTATAACAACCGACTTCTACTGCTTCACAGTAGCCAACAGTATTTCCAGCCAAACGATTGACAGCTGTTATGCCGACAGGTTTTCCTCTTTTGCAGATAAAAGCTCAGTTTTGAACCGATGTTACCCCTGAATTTTTGTGTTGTTTCTTTCGGGATCTCTGACATTTTCCTCGTCTGCAGGTTACCAGCTAACCTCAGCAGAATGCTTTGACCTGCGGAGCGGCCGGGTGGTTGTGGATCAGTATTGTCATTATTACCCAGAGAACGTCAAACCTAAACCCAAGCTGCAGGAGTGCAACATGGAGCCCTGCCTGGCCAGGTTAGAGACCAGACCTCAGATTTTGAGTGCAGACATCTATGTTTATGATGAGTCAGCAGCAGATTGTATGATCCTAAAGCCCGATTTCCTTGATTGATTCTTACAGTGATGGCTACAAGCAAATTATGCCATATGACCTCTACCACCCCCTGCCCCGGTATGTGCTCAAATAGCGTGAGATGAAATAATGACTCTGACATCTACCTCTATGCATCAGTCTCTTCATGACATGTGACCTTTTACAATGCCAGATGGGAGAGCAGCCCCTGGACCGCCTGCTCCACCTCCTGCGGCGGAGGCATCCAGAGTCGCTCAGTGTCCTGCGTGGAGGAAGACATGCAGGGAACCATCACTCCCGCTGAGGAGTGGAAGTGTCTCTACTCCCCTAAGACGGCGATCCTGCAGCCCTGCAACACCTTCGACTGCCCCACCTGGCTGGCGCAGGAGTGGTCGCCCGTAGGTGGTCTTTGTGACTTTGTGTTTTAGAACAGTTGAGTCTAGTGCTGCAAAGCATCATCAGATTAGAAATGTTGAGAAAGTTCAGCTAAAAATACAGAGTGACCAAAAGTAAAGAGATGTTTCTTTGTGTTCTGTGGCTGTTACCACCTGGGAAGTCAAATGTTAGCAAACGGCTCATTTGTCTTGGTAGTCTGCAGCTCGCTACAGTGGGTCTTAATTAACCCTTGAGGTTAGAATGAATAAATAAAAAATAAAAAAAGATGATTCATTTTCTCATAGGGGAAACAAAAATATATTCAGATTCTGTCACCTCTTCAGACGTCAAGCAGCGTCCTCAACATGAGAGCAACTCTTGCAACAGCTCAACTTAAAACACAACCTCGCTGTGCGTTTAAGAGAAGCACTGCTAACCCCCACTCCGAGTGTCCTCCACCACCCTCGCCTTTGAACGCACCATCCAAAACATACAAAGCTTTAATAAGAACCTTAAAGTCAGCAGCACACATGGAGTTCTTTAACTCACCGTGTGCTACTCACATCCAGGCTGCTGCAGGATGGTGCATGTGGATCAATCTCCGGTTAACGTTCTTATTTGACAGACTTGTAGTCACTCAATGCCCCACATGACTTCCTCGTGGGGATTTTTCAACCCCACCGCTCATACAGGCGCAAGCAGAGGCCCAGGGAGTCAGATTTGTAGCCTCCTAAAAACCTGGGATGCTGTTTACCTAGCACATTCTTCCTTTGCCTTTAAATGCTTGTTTTGGCAGAGGACAGACAAAGTTCACCCCTGAGCAGTGAGCTTTGGAAGGTCTCCTTCTTTAACCCCCCCCCCTTAAGTCAAAAGCTAAGGCTTTCTGTTAAACATAAGCAGAGAGATCTGGTCTTAGGAACAGGGCTCAATTATTATCAGTTGATCGGTTCTTGATAGATTATATCTGCTGTCATCACCAGTGCACGGTGACCTGTGGTCAGGGTCTGCGCTACAGGGTGGTGTTATGCATCGATCACAGGGGACTCCACGCTGGAGGCTGCAACCCAACCACCAAACCCCACATCAAGGAGGAGTGCCTGGTGACTGTGCCCTGCTACAAGTCCATAGGTTTTTGTTTTTTGTTTTTTTTCACCTTTTAACCTCCAAACTTGTACTTTATATGTAAAAATAATATAGTATTTCTCTTGTGATATGAAACCTTTGTCCTCTCTGGGTCATTTGCTGTAGATACGCTCCCAGTTGAGGCAAAACCTGTGTGGCATAAGCAGGCCATAGAGCTGGAGGAGGAGATCACAGTGACCGAGGAGCCAACGTAAGTACCCACCACATACACACAAAAGGGATGCTGATAAGATCACACTGGTTTCCTCTCTATTTGTTGCTTCATTGTGTTGAATATTGGTAAGAATTATAACCACACCACACATCCGTCTTTTAAATATCTTATTCTGCAACTGTACTGGCAGTCTACATTTAAAACATACTCTACAGACTGGCCTGTTTACAAATCTCCACAGTTTTTCTTAATCCTAACCAATTTGTCACTGACATTACATAGCCTGTATGGAACCTCAGTAAATACCGTCAGAGGTGAATATTGTACTGCTAAAGCTGTACAAGGCTCACAAACCAGAAAAATCAGGAACATTTTTACAGCGTTCATTTCCCCTTTTTAAAGGATTACTGTCACTCTGCAGGGGTAAAGAAGCAAAAGTCAGGTCCCAGATCCACAGTTTTAACAACAGTTTTCTCAGTCCAGGTCTTAAGATTTACCTGGAGGTGAAATTGAAGTAGACAGGGCCCGGTGCTGCCAAGAAAACCGCCACTGTATCGTGGTTGTGTTCATGTCAACTGCCATTTTCGTCAACTTGGTGTCAGAATATACAGCTGTAGCCCTGATTTTTTTTTTTTTTTTTTTTTTATGACACCTTTCAAAATATGCACCAGTTTGAGTGATGTTCACACCTGTGGGGACCAAGCGGTTGTCAGATATGAACAGTTTTGTGTAGACGAGTAAAGACGAATTCACCCCTGCTTAAGATAGGTGTTAAAAGCTCTGATACTTCAATGAACGTGTGCATTTGTCAGGTAGTTTGCTGCATTAGGTTATTTAAGGTAAAAGGGGAACTGAATGTGAAAGAGAAAAAAAAACATATTTTTGGAAACCAGTCACTAGCTACCAGCATTACCTCAGCAAGCGCTCAGATGTTCCAGATGTTCTTGTCCCACGTATCAACTGACTAATAAAGGCTGTCCTCTGAAGATGGACAACGTTTGGACTCTACCCAGTGTCTTGCATGACTTGTATTAGCGACCATGTTAGCCAGTTCAAAACATCTGTTGCTTTGACTTATCTTTGGAGCACGAGATGGGGGGAGAGAGAGAAACGCCAAAACATATGATTTTGCTCGAATGCAAAAAAAAAAAAGCATGTCTTTCCTCCAAAAGCACATAAATATCTGTGTATAATATGCAGTCATTCACAAGCCAACAACAATATCTGCCTACCATATGGGGCCAGGTTACGGATGTGAGAGGAAGGAGAAGGAAATTCCTGTGTTAGACTTATTGCACCTCCATTGCCAGGCCTTATGCCTGCCCCGAACCACCACTGTGCAACTGCTTGAAAAATTAAACCCATATATGTCCCACATCTTGGCCAAAAGCTTTTTTTTTTTTTTCATCTCACCACTACCATGAGTAAATAAAATATTTCCATTGATGGAAATTTAATTGATATGATTAGAATGGGGCTTTGGCGGATATTACAAAAGTGTGCTGTTTCCCTCCACGAACGAAATCAAGATTGTTTTTGAACTGACAGATGTACTTTAACTACGCATGAAGATAAACATTTCTGTGGGTTCGCTTGTTGACTTTGTTGTTCCTGTTCCAAGGTCGAACTGCCGGTGATTCATTTGTTTGTCCAAAACACAATGAGTCCTTGAGCGCTCATAAAGAGCCAGGTTTGCTGTAATTATGAACTCTTTATTGAGGCATCTTATAAAGCAGCAGGGTGCGCTTGTGTTGTGGTCGGACTGCTCAACCAAGGAAGAATGCTGCACGCTGGTGCGCGCTGCCATGTTAGTGGTACCTTTTTATGAAACACATATACACTGAAAGCTGTGCTGTAGAAAACTAATCTGGTACTTTTATAGACCCAGGAAGTGCAGTCACTCACTGGAACATCTGGGCTCTGGTAAAGATGGCTGTCACTGTCAGCTACACAGACCGGAATTAACAAACAGTACTTCCCTACTTATTATTGTATTCGAATTTTGGATGAGAGGAATACAACTGAGCAAACAGAAAATATCTATTTGTATATCCAACACCACATCAAAAACACTAAAGGGACTAAGTGAAGAGCTACAGTGGTACGTTATTGTGAATGATGTAGAGGTGGAGGTTATGAATTTAGCTGATTCCCATCGGTTTGTTCATTCCAGCTCAAAGAGATGAATAGTCACTGACTAAGTAGTTCATTCATTTTGTTCTAAGCTAAGCACTTGCATCATCATTCAAATGTCCATCAGTAAGCGACTCCTCCATTAAAAACGCCAGGATCTTTACAGCACTGCTTCTAACTGTCTTCGGTTAGTTCAGTCTGTAGCTGCTTTGGAGTGATTTGTTTAGTTTTATTCAAAACTAGACTTATACAACCACTATTTACAAGAGTAAAGGCTCGGTGAGCATTTATCTGCATCTGAGTTATTATCATTACTTCCGTGGATTTCATGGTTTTTCAGTCAACATTGGGGAAGCCCCAAGGCCAGTTCAGCAACTACCGATTTGGTCAGTGACTATTTTTAATTCAGCTTGTGGCTTTGGGCTTAAAGATTCCTTTGTGCATGTTCTGATGTTTTGAAACTGCTATAAATATATTAGCTGAAAGAAACCAGAGGTGGTGAGCTCAGCCCGAAACAGGACAGCTGTTGTATGGTGTAAACATCAGAGCTGCCATCTAACACCCTGTAATCATGATCAGATACATACCTGGGTGTAATGAGAACGAGGGAATGAAGATCATAAAACATAGACCCTTGTGCAAAGGGTCAATGTCTGATCAACTGGTAAAACCTCCCGCCCCAACAAGCACTGCCATCTCCAACTCACAATGCCTGCCGTCAGCTGTGAATGTGTCACAGTATGCACATAGTGGGACATCCTGTTTCGTCTTCATATTTCCATATTTTCATATGAGAATTCCTCCTGCTGCATCAGCCCATGAGCGGTTAATGAACACAAGACTGACATCAAACAGCTTCTATGATCTCCTCAAACACCAGCTCTAAACATCAATGGAAACAGCGTGATGTAGATTTCCCCCTCCTTGATCCTTTATATAACTGAGCTTTTAATTTTGGCAAGTGGTTTTTATGTGCATTCCCCAGACAGTTTGATTCCCATTGAGAGTGTCAATTAAATGTGAAGATCAACTGGGATTCAAACATCTTTCTGTCTCACGTTTTCGCGTTTTATTGCACTCTGCGAAAGCTGTTGGAAGGGGTGACACTTCCCTGACAGGCCTTGAGGCATTCATGAACACCAGTGATCTACAAGTATTTCCTTCACTGATCCATTCTTCAAGATGAGGAAGGATGCGCGTGAAAGCTGTTTATCCAAGAATGGCCGACCCTAAGTCTTCACAGCTGTTCAATTAACCGCAGCAGATAAATACTAAGCCCTTAGTGAGTTTATGAACTTAGCTGCAAACACATAAAATCTGCACACGGGGGGAATCCTAAAAACCTGTTATCTTCAAAACTGCATTCAAACACCGCTGATGTGGAGCCAGTCTTTATCAAATCAAACTGTAACTACATTCCTCAGCTTGTTTGTATAGGTTTGTGAAAAATACTTCCTGAGTGAACTGCATGCAGTTTATTTTAATATCTCTGTGATGAATCTGTTTGCTTTCTCAAACACCCCCCCCCCCCCCCATCTTCAGCTTCATCCCTGGTCCCTGGCAGCCCTGCAGCAAGACCTGTGGCTCCGGAACCCAGCACCGGACTGTCAAGTGCCAGGTGCTGCTGTCCTTCTCCCAGACAGTCGCTGACCTGCCTGATGACGAGTGCGAGGGGGTCAAACCTGCCACAAGTCAGCCCTGCTACCGTACTCCATGCTCTGGTGTTTCGGGCCGCAGACAAGAAAGCAAAAAGGAGGGGGAGGAAGAGGAGGAGGAGGAGGAGGAGGAAGAGGGGGGAGAGACGCCCGAAAGAGAGGAACTGCACGACTGGGAATATGAAGGCTTTACGGAGTGCTCGGAGAGTTGTGGCGGAGGTATGGATCATTACTGCTGGGAGCAGAGGAAACATAAGGGGGTCACCAAAATCAGTAGGATTTATTCTATAGAGACTTTGAATGCCTGTACCTTATTTCATGGCAATCCATCCAATAGCTCTTGAGATATTTCAATCTGAACCAACGCGGCTAATATTGCAACCAAAGAAACTCTTATATAAAAGTCAGTGTGATCTTACATTAAACCCACAACAGAATCTTTTTTTTTATCATAAACGTACTAGAAATATATTTCTTAGTTTGAATGCAGCATAAGCCCTGAAAGCAAACCTCACTCCATCAGTGTCATTGAATTTATCCCAGTTGTTATTCTTTAAAAAGACTGTGAAAAGTCACAGCTGAAACGGGTGACGTTACGTCAGTGGATGACCGAAGCCATGCCATTGTGGTCTTTGAAGTAAGTTATGATGTTATTTGATAATAGACGGAATACCATCCATTTAACCCTGAAGGTCGTACGTCACCGACTCTCACAGCAGAAGCGAACGCCGCACCAGACACAGACAGCTTTCCCAAACATCCTGCCAACAGTCATTGAGGCCCACTTTAATCTCCCCACCTCCACATCCAAACATGTATGCCTGCATTGTGTGTTCGGGTGTTAATGTCTGCTCGAGTGTGCATGTGTAACTTAATTTCTGCACATGGGCGTAGGCTTTTGTCAATGCCTGTGTGTATGTGCGCTCACCCAAACCCAACAAACTCCCATCCAGGGATGATTACAGGCCGGTATCGGATGTCACGCACACACACACACACACACACACACACACACACACACACACACCCTTAGGGCTGCGCTCCTGTGGACCATCACACCACTGTGGCGTTTGAAGTGCCTGCCTCACTGTTATTGTCCCCAACATTAGAAGCAGACTCCCAAGATTTATATTACGTTGCTTTTAACATGACCTGACATCACACCCTTAAAGTGTATCCACAGTTCAGAAGTTTAGCCGGCAGCCGTACTGTTTCGTGACGTTCATCGTGCCCCATTAGATACAACCGCTGC